ATAAAGATTCATCAGTGCTTTAACTACAGATTTCATGTAAAGATTCGTCAGTGCTTTAACTACAGATTTCATGTAAAGATTCGTCAGTGCTTTAACTACAGATTTCATGTAAAGATTCGTCAGTGCTTTAACTACATATTTCGTACAAAGATTCGTCAGTGCTTTAACTACAGATTTCATATAAAGATTCGTCAGTGCTTTAACTACAGATTTCATATAAAGATTCGTCAGTGCTTTAACTACAGATTTCATATAAAGATTCGTCAGTGCTTTAACTACAGATTTTGTACAAAGATTCCTCAGCGCTTTAACTACAGATTTCATATAAAGATTTGTGATTACTTTAACTACAGATTTCGTATTGTTCTTCATTTTCTTTCCATATAGTCCAACACTTAGAAAAAACCAACAGACCAAAGACAGTGAAGGTCATTCTGCTTCCTTAGACCAAACATTAACAGCTGCAGACACATATCCTGGTAAGAGAAAAATATTACAAATGAATTTGAACTGATATTAGAAAAATATATATTTTCGGTATTGACAGCTATTTTTTTTATATTATTGCTAGTCTGTTTAGGCTTCACAGTATGGTTTAGCAAGCACTATTTATCTGTATTAATTCCACTTCTTGGTGTTACCTTAATTTACAGTGTGGATTAAATGTGTTACTGTTTCCGGCTTGGTCCTTTATCATGCACTGGTGTTAGACTTCTAGTACCTAAATGATCAACTTCTATGGTTAACGTTCGTGACTTGTAGGTCACGAAACTTCAGGTCACATCAATAGATAAAAATATTAGTACTTGTGCCATTAAATTCAACGTAGAATTAAATGGATTGTGTCAGCAAAATTTTCATATGTTTGTAGTAACTTTCAAACTTTATCTCATTTTGAGGGATTTAGTAGTGTACAGTGTTTTTGTGCAAGTTAGAATTAATAAGTTAATTATTTTAGCATCATCTAAAATTATCAGTTCTAAATATTAAAATATCAAAAAAGATTTATATATTTTGGGTACATCATACATGCTTTCCAAAGTTCCTGAAGTTTTACATAGAGTTCTAAACAGAATAATATTGTGGGACTATTGTTTTTTGGCATGTTAAATCCAAAACTCACAAATTTCGTACTTTTTGGGCTATTAACACAAAAATTTTCATAGAATTTCAACATTTATAAATTTTCCTTTATGAAAACATAATCTTTTTTTTATGTTTGTCTTACAGTCCGCCATATTTGTGCCATGATATTTATTTTAACTAATTAGCCTCTACACACTCCATCCAGCAAACTCTGATTAATGGTTAATACTTGAAGCATATCCTCTTTTACTTCTCTCTCCTGTCATTGTATGTTCGAGTTGTTGTCTATACATTAGTGTTTCAAAATAAGGGATGAAGAGTACAATATTTAATAAATTTTGCTTGCCACCAGGAGCAAAATTAATGTAGTCTTATGAAACATTTATTTAGTGATTTAATTAAAATGAAGAATTAGTATGTATTAGCATTTAATTGACATTTTGTATTTTTTTTTTTCATTATATTCAAATGTTCTATTAAGTTTTATGCTACTGCACAATCAATTATCTCAAATTTGATTTACAAAAACAATAGTTTAGTCTGTTTTATTTTCATGATGACTTAAAGAAGTAGTCCTACATTTTAACAATAAATAAAGGTTCATTTCCTTATACATCTCAAATTGTTAGAAGTAAGTATAGAATCAGAAGCTATGAAATTGAGGTTCTTTCTGATTCAAGTTGATTAAAAAATTTAATTTGTTCCAGTGGACTTTTCAGATATTACTCTGTGTAACAGTCAAGAAGTTGAGAAATCCAGTGGAAAGATAGGTAATAAAGGGCCAAACTTACACATTGAGGTTCAGTTTAGTGATGCTACCACTCGTTTCTACTGTCGTGTGTATTTTGCTGAACAGTTTCGAAAGCTACGGCGGCTGATATTTCCTGATGGTGAAGAGTGTTATGTACGATCACTAGCTCGATGTGTGCAGTGGGTTGCTCGAGGTGGAAAGTCGGGATCTTCATTCTCCAAAACACATGGTCAGTGTAATTGTTGAAGTTCTTTTTCTGCAGATCATCTGGTATCAGATAGCCATAGCTTAAATAGTTTGTTGTTTCTCCTAATAAATCGTTAGGTGATACGTAACCAATCTTCATTCCTAGAAAGTTTGTTATAATAGGCATAGTACACTCTCTAAAACTTATGTCCAAAAATATGTTAGAACATTTAATCTTCTACTTAAATGTAGCATTTTTACTTATTTGTAAGCAGAATATTTTTAATTAATTGATAATTTATTAAGCATTATTAGACTAACTAATAAACTTTTCAAATTATTTTATTAAACACTAGTTACTAATATCTATTCAGTAAAAACTGCTCTCCAAATATTTTGGAGGCCGACACTTTTCTCTATCATTGCGTTCAAGTGTAACATAACATGGTCAATGGTTTGTACCAAGGTTTTTCAACATTTTCCACCTCAAGGACCACTTAATTATATGGTACAATAATAAAGGCCAACATATGAATTATATAACTCATTGCTTTAAAACAGTCACAGTTGTCCTGGCCTGTGGTGACCCATAACTGCATGTCTCACAGTCCAACAGTTGAGAATCATGGGCTTAAAAACGTATGCGAGCACAAAGGCCACTTGTTACTTTTTAGTTTGTAAATATTTATGAATGTAAAGAATATTGATAGGACTTCCTCTCTTTAACATGTTTGCATAAGTTTGAATGTTCCAGGGTTCAGTAGAGTCTAAAGATTGCTTTAACTCGGAATGTTTTAGCATTTTCAGGCTACATTATCAATTTAATAGTCAGTCAGCACTAAATATTTTTTTAACTGCACACCTTAGAATACCTGCATTTTTATGGTCATGCTTGTGTTTATCCAGTTTGACCCCAACCTGCCAGAGGTTAGACCTACGCATAATGTTGGACTATCTTTACAAGATGGCCAGTTGGGGCATAGCTCTACCTCACAGATTTTAGTTACCAGTGTTAAATAAAAGTGTGAAAAAGATAAGAATTAAATAGCTTCATAAAATAACTATGTACAAATTGAAATATTATGGCACACTTTTCATGTTTAAGCTTTCAAAATGAGACATTAAAATATTTATTTAATGTTTAATGAAGCATCTTTGCAATGATGATTTTTTAGTTTGTATTTAGCTCATTATTTTTTAATATGTAAATAGTGAGCAGTTTTCAAGTTCAGTGTGTAAAAACACTGACGTTAACTTTTCTTGACATTTCTTTCTATTTAGATGACAGGTTTGTGTTGAAACAAATGTCAAGGTTTGAAGTGCAGTCTTTTCTCGATTTTGCTCCACATTATTTCCAATATATAACCAAGGCTTGCAGTGAACAAGTGAGTTGGTAGTTTATATAATGAAAAAAAAGTATACAAATATTCTGTCTAAATTAATAAAGTTACAATATAAAACTCACTTTTCTTTCCAGTATGGACCTAATGAATATAGAAACTTTTAAAACTAAAAACTACTGGGTTTGCAGCATTTAAAAAAAGAAAAAGGATTGTTGATTCAAGTTGAAAAAACGTTGGTGAATATACAACCAAAATCTAAATACAAATTCCTTGTGAAAAGCTACACATTGTAATGTGACTGATAATTGCAGCATAATTTCACATTTATCAAGAAATAAATTTAAATAATGGAACTTAATGTGCCATTTTTGAGTTTTTTGTGCATTCATGTTGAAGTTTAAAATATATTTTTCTTTCAATAACAAAGGTGTTTGAAGCTGAGCTTAGAAATGACACAGTACATATAGAATGTCAAGTTGTATTTTTTTATTGTTATTATGATACAGGAAGACATATGTTTGTGTTTCATAACTTAAACAATGAATACTCTTATGTACACTTCTTTCAAGGATTATTTTTATTATTAAAATGCTCTGTGCTTTTAATACATTTTATTCTTAAAATATGATACTTGCTAATAATTTCATTAAATTCTTTTTTTATTGACATTTTTATATTGATGTTTACTTGCCAAAAATTAAAATTCGTAAGGCATCGTCTCTGTTTTCCTGATTTAACTGGTAACATGTCAAATCCCAAGCAACACGTGTAATTCTAAAATAATGTAGAGGAGTTACTTGCATGTGTTCAGCTGGATCTATCCATTACTTTATGCTTTATTCCTGACTGCACACCCGATTCTTTTCATTACTTTATGCTTTATTCCTGACTGCACACCCGATTCTTTTCATTACTTTATGCTTTATTCCTGACTGCACACCCGATTCTTTTCATTACTTTATGCTTTATTCCTGACTGCACACCCGATTCTTTTCATTACTTTATGCTTTATTCCTGACTGCACACCCGATTCTTTTCATTACTTTATGCTTTATTCCTGACTGCACACCTGAATCTCTTCATTACTTTATGTTTATTCCTGACTGCACACCTGAATCTCTTCATTACTTTATGCTTTATTCCTGACTGCACACCTGAATCTCTTCATTACTTCATGTTGTATTCCTAACTGCAAACTCGGATCTCTTCACTACTTCATACTGTATTCCTGACTGCACACATGAATCTCTTCACTACTTCATGCTTTATTCCTGACTGCGTAGTTTCTGTGAAGACACAGTAGAAATTAAAAGTTCTTTTTAGTGTGTGAGTAGCTCAAAGTTTTTGAAATGTTAATGCATTACGGGTGTTACTTATTTATTGAGTTTTCATCTCAAAGCTATTAAAACCATGCCCCAAAAACTGTAGCTTATGTAAATTAATCAATTTTTAAACATTGTGCATTTTACCATCCATTACTCTTTTTCTTCTCTTTACACACTTACTTCTTACTCTTTATCACTGCTACTGAAGTAAAAATGCATTACAATATTATAAAAGTAATTTATTTAGAATCTACAATAAGAAAGAAAACAACTTATGTGACATTAATACATTTAGTTCACAAAGGTACCACTGGGTAAGTGATTTTTTTCAAGGTACACCAACTGTGTAGTTTTATCATACCTAAAAAGTCTTCAATTGTTAGGAGATTGCAAAAAATCTTCGCTTTAATGAAATATCACTAAAGATTGTGGCAGTTTCTAACATGGCTACAAGAAACAAATCAAAAATGACTGAATAATAAATACTAGTATTCCTTGTGGTAAATTATTGAGGTTAAATTCTGACACTATAAGAGAAATGTTTGTACGGTATAAGTATCTATTAATTAATTTATTTTTTCAGGCAACAACAAATAAACTATTTTTTCTAATTATTTTATATTGTAACTTGAATTTCTCTGTCACAGTACTAGCATTCTCTGTTGTTTTTAAATCCATTTATTTCTTTACCAAACAACCAGAAACCAACAGTTTTAGCCAAGATAGTAGGTGCATACAAGATTGTTTACAAGAACTCATCTACTAACACTGCAGCTAAGCTTGACCTTCTTGTCATGGAGAACCTTTTCTATGGGAGAACAGTTAGTCAGAAATTTGATTTGAAAGGGTCGGTTCGAAACAGGATGGTCAACACTACTAGTCAACAGGAAGAAGACTTGGTACTTCTTGATGAAAACCTCTTGAAAAGTGAGTTGTATAATATGTTATTATGTCATACCTGTTTGTTTCAAATGCTATTATGAACATCTGCAGTATTATGTAATGTTTAACACAAATATTTAAGGTTATGGTCAATTAGTGTTAGCTGATGCATGTGCTCATGGCTCTTTTTAGTGTTATGTGATAACCCATTCAACATTCGTCCTCACTCCAAAACTGTGCTAACACTAGCGATTGACAATGATGCTCATTTTTTGGCAAGCCATTCTGTGATGGATTACTCACTCCTCGTTGGGTTGGATGATGAAAAAAAAGAAATGGTAGTAGGAATAATTGGTAAGTAATTTTATATATATGCATGAAAATTTAAAATTGTCATTTGTTTTTTTAGTACTAGTAATAGCATTAAGATGATGTAATGCTCTGTGAAACTAAATCAAACTTACCTTTAGGTAACAAACTCGTACGAAATCTTGTTTATAGTAGAAAGAACCAGAGTTGAACTGGTTCTTGAATCATAACAGAAAGTCACCTTGATTTTAAATATTCAGATGATAGCCCATCCTTCTATCATAGTCTCTTGATAGACTTCTCTTCCTGTTATAATCTCTGACAGAAATACAGGTTTCTTCTGTATTGTAGCCTCTGCCAGAAATATATATTTTTCTGTGGGTTCTGATTAAGATAAAGGCATCTGTGTTGATATTTCTGTCAGAGATTTGTGTTTTTCTGTTATAGAATAACAGAAATGAATATTTCTTATTATATGGGTTTAAATAAAAAGGATATTTTTGTTGTTGTTCATTCAAAAAGCATACATGTCTAGGACTCGATCCATAACTTGTTTTAAAACCTAGTACGTACCCTTACTTGCTGCAAATCAGTATAGTCTGAGATAGAAAGATTTTGTAGAGTTAGTAACATGTTATCAAATTTTGAGGGCCCTATCCTTTTGAATTATGTGCTAGGCCTGTTAGAGGTCATAAAAAAACTTTGACTCTATTCTTACAGATTACATTCGAACTTTCACCTGGGATAAAAAAATTGAAATGGTAGTCAAGTCTACAGGCATTCTCGGTGGTCACGGAAAGCTTCCCACTGTAGTGTCACCTGAATTATATCGAATGAGGTTTTGTGAAGCTATGGACGGGTACTTCCTCTGGGTTCCGGATCGGTGGAGTGGGCTTGGTAAAGGTGTAGATTGTTGATCGGCATTAACGGCACAATGAACTGAAGATCCAACATTTCAATGTATTCCTTAACTGTAATTATTATAGAGAACTGTAAATCAGTTTTTTTTTTTTTCATCTTAGCCTCCTGGTTTATGAAATTGTAACTTACAAATACTTTTTTTTTTCATTTTCTTTTGAAAAGTGTATACCCATAAATATTATCATAACATTCTACATGATCAAATTATTATAGCTAAGCATTCTAAGTAACATTGTGACTACAGAAAAGCACATTTGAAGAAGTGAAGTGTCTAAAATGTAGAAATGTCCTGCTTAAATTCAAGTTTACGTGCAATTTTTACTGTGTTTTATTACTTAGTATTCACCAAACAATTGATGTACACCAATCACAGCTGATCTATTTATTTAGTTGTTTTTTTTCACCTCATTTATTTTTTGTTTTTCTATTCCATTGCAGAAAAAATGTTAAAAAACCTTGGGAATGTAATGTTAGCAGTGTATAAAAAATTATGCATGGTGTAGTATTAGTTATTATTTATTGGGGAGGTTATATAATGAAATATGGAAAATTTATTATTATTATATATTAGATTATTAGCTTTATGAGTTATGTGATTTTCAGTCCTCAATCATAAGTACAGTAAGGTACATTTAGAATAAACACCATGTTTATCAAAAAAAAACTTTGTAAAGTGTAGCCTTGTACTAGTCTTCGCATTCCTTTCTACCTACATTTTGTTTGTATGACTAAAAAAAAAAGTATTAAAAAGAAAAATATTTTCTGATTAATATTACCTTCAACTTTTTTATGAACAAATTTTTCTGTTACCTGTGTTTGACTTTTTTTTTTTTTAGTTTATCAATATTAAATCAGTAGTATCTGTAACATATTAGAAAAAACTTAGGACTATCACTTGACAGGAATGTTTGATATGTTCAAGTATACCAGTTGATTTTTCTTGCTTTTGGAAAATATTAATATTGTGAAATGTAATCTTACTGATGAAGAAAATTGATTTATGTTTGAAATTTTAATTTTGTGCAGTTTTAAATTTGAAAAAGGGATATTAAATGTTCACTGTTGAAAGCTGGTAGTTTAAACTGAAAATTGTAAGGCATCCGGAGATCACCTTTGTCAGAACTTCTTTGTTTAAAAGTTCCCAAGCAACCTTTGTATATTAAAAAATAAATGTGAAGCCCAGTCTGTCATTCAGTTTACCACTTGTCACTGAGTTATACTAGTTTTGGTGAATTACACCTGTCATCAGTAACCTGGACAAGAGGAATTCAAAACAGTCAGACTAGGCTTCATATAACATTGGTGTGTATTTTATATGTATGGTGTTTTGAGATGTCTTTTACTCCCATAATAATCCTATATCTGTATAGTAATTTCAAGAAAATGCATCACTGAGGTTACTAAATTATTTGTGTGAATTATTTAGCCAATGAGCTGTTTAAATGCTAAAAATAGGTTTAGCTTTACATTTATGTTTTAGTAATTTGGAACACTTTGTGGCTGAATTCACAAAAATAAATTAATAGCATCAATTCTTTACATTCTTGAAAATCCTTTATAAATATGGGATCACTGAGTTAACTGTATCTCAAAAGTCTTTGAAAGTCAGGCTTGAAGACGATTAATTACACCATCACATTGACCTGCTCCAGATCCATTGGTTGTCAAGTGTGCACTAAAATTTATTTTGTAATATGGAATGATGATGACAATTTTTAAAAAGAAAAGTAATTTTTTGATAGATCAACCCAAGAAACATAAACACTGGCTTACCTTAGGTTTCATCACATTTTTCTTAAAGTAAGATTGGAAAAAAATCACACCTACTCTGTAGTGTAATAACAATTTCAACAGTTATGAATGTTTCATGAGTAAGAATAATTGATATTAATGATAAAGATCACTGAAAGTCATTTTTTTTTTTGAAGTTTTTTTTTTTTTTCGCACTGCTGAACTAAATCGTACTTTACACCTCGAGTCATAATTTTGTACAAAAATCAAGATTTTGATACGCACTCAGTAATCCAAGTCACTGAAAATCATACAATCTTAATTATTGAAATGTGTTTTAATTAAATAGGTATCTTATTTCAAGTACCGTTATGCTTACTAAAGCATTCCTTTTTATTATTAAGGAAAGATTACTAGGTTATTGCCAGTATGGCATTTTTATAGGAAGTCGTGTAATTCTTGTTTGTTTTTCACAAAAGTATCCTGAATTTGTTAACTAAGAATTTCAGAACTGTTTCTAAAATAAACCTTGAAATCAGTTAAAGTACAATACATTTTATTATTTCAAATTTTTACCAGTCAACCTGTAATTGGTAAGAAATATGCTATGGATTGTTGTTTGTTTTCTTCTTCTAATCACTTTTGATTACTTGCTCACACTTGTGGCTGGCTTTAGTTTGATCACATTTTTATTGTCCCTTCTGTAATTCTTTCAGACACCTTGAACAAGCTGATTCAACTTATAAAACTGGCATGACTTTTTTTTTTCTTCATACCACAGTCAATTTCCACGCCGTTTTATTATTAATGTTTAGTTTTTTTTCTAATATTAAAAATGGGCAAAAGAAAAGGGGACTAATCATAGACTTACTAACAGGAATTTGTTTTAAACCTGGAATGAGCAGCAAGATTATTTTCTCATTTACTGCAAAGCGAAAAAAATAGAAAATAATTAGTAGCTTCATGCTTATTAGTATTTTGCAGAAGAAATAAATTATATTCATTAGCATTTCCCATCAGCTTGTGCACATAGTATTACTATTAGTTTTCAAACTGGTTTATTATAATTTCTTACATACACAAACACACAATGAATTTAGATATTTTTTTACAAAAAAATACTATTTGAAAGAATCATTACATGCACCAAAATTTATCACCAAAAATGGAAGTAATATAGTGTCTTATATTGATCCTTGCTGACAAATGGTTTCCGTACAATTTTTAATTTTTTTCCAATTTGACACAGATTTGAAATAAATGTCTGTTAATTATTTATTGTTTAGGAAGCATTCATAGGTAATTTTCTAAAAGCTTATAATGAACAAGTTGTGTACAACTGAATTATATATTGGACAACAACAGCTTAAATTTTATGTCCAAATTTATATCTTGTATTTTCTTTTAATGAATATGATATGTAATTTTATAGCTGATGAATTAGTGTTCAGTGATTTAGTATAACAAGAAAGAATCAAAAATAATTATTGAAATAAGCATCAAACAATACAGTGATCAATTCTCTCTCCATTTATCTGTTATTAATATCAGTAGTGTTTCTTCAAACTGATGTAACATTTGTTTTTCCTGCAGTGGGTTAGTGTCATTCTTGTAACTGTTAGTTCATACAGCTGAATGTACTGGCCCATATAAGTATTATTTAAACAAATACTTGGATAAGATATAGACAGAAAACTACAAGAAGTTTTACACATCTTTCTACAACAGGCCTTTGATGGGAACGTTATTTTTTCTGTGAAAGGTGTCTTATTACTTCATCATGTTACTGATCTTACGTTTTTTTTTGTTATGAAGAAAACAGTATCATTGAACAATTCATCTAGTTTTGAAATATGTTAGACTGACAGTGTATTTTAGGGTGGGGTATCATTTAAACAAGAAACTAAATATCGGTGATTAACTTTCAATCATCAATTTAACCTAACATTACAATTTGCTACATTCCATGTTGAACAAGTAAATTATTATGTCTTAAAAACTGTAAATTAGCTGTACTAGTCTTTCTTATGTTACATTAAATATTATTAATTTACTTGTTCTAATAAAACAATGTATTTCAACAAACATATATGTGTTTTTTTTTCTAAGAAACTCACTGGTATACCTTTCGTTAAAATTGAATGGAAAGACGGTGAATTATGAAGTAAATATTTGATGAAAAATAGTGTACATTAATTAGTCTTATTTTTTCAATATTGTAATATTATTTATCATTCTGTATAGTGTATAGTATTTCCTTTTACAAGTAATGGCGTCTTTAAGCAAAAGGGAAGATGTCTGAAATTTGCCTTAAGGCTTCTTTAATTATCAGTAACTAGTTCTATGGAATTACAGGTTTAACTTTATTTCTTATATGAAAACGTATGTATACTTTTCCAGCAATATATTAACCAAATTTAGTTATTAGTGTGGGTGTTTTGTCACATATACTTCATAATGATTCCCTTCTGTTATAATTTTGTAATAAGATTTAATCTTTTATTAAGTATGACACTGGTCTTTGTAAAAGAGTTTACATAAAGTGTAGTATTACATTTAACTTGATCATGCTGTTGAAGTTATCAAACATTAAAATATCATAGAACAAAATTAAGTGAAAATCTAAAGCTTTAGAATGTCCTATAGTATTTTTTAGAATCGACTTCTGTATGTCTAATTTTAATTTTCTGTAAAAAAATTAATATAAAATGTATTCAAGTTCCAAAAATATTTATATGTGAAATTAGAAGTTTAAAAAAGAAGTATTTTTATAGGATGAAAAAAAACAGCCTTGGTGGTGTCTTGTTACAATAAAAATTTATTTTGTCACACATTAACATGGAATACATTTTGGTGTGCAAATCTCCCAGTGAGAGTTGGGTTCTGATTTTTCTAATTTCACCTCATGGGTATTGTATTAATTGTAAACTTTTGGAAATTTTTAGCATGGTATGTTTGTGACTTGTAATGTAAAATTAAACAGAATATGTATATAATGGTAAGAAAGATGTAGTTAATATATATATATATATATATAAAAAAAAAAATTGTGGGCTTGAGACTCTGTCTATCTTACACAGTTGTATCATAATATCTAGCAAGTATTCTTGGGCATGAAAGATATTAAAAATAAAGATTTTTGTGAAAAAAATGTTCTCTTTGTACACATCTTTTGTTAAACTCAAAATATTTCTGAAAGAATAAAGCTAACTTCAAACTGGAATTACTCGAACCATTAGCACTGCATACAACTTTTGGTCAAGAAATAAACTAACCCGTCTGGACTGTTATAAGTGCAATTATAGAAATATACAAAATGTATATCCAGAAGTCCTTGCTTATAGTGGGATATTACCAACATTCAGTAATTTATGATTTCATTATTAACTAATATGTTGAAAAACTACATATCAACATCATCCAAAGAAATTTCAGCTATTGCCACAAATATCCAATCATAGTCATAATGTTAATTTCAACAAAGTGAGTAAAGATCTCAAACTGAAATATCAACAGTATTAATAGATGCATTATTCAGTAATGTAAATGTAAAAAAACTGTTCTGTGGTGTGCCAATACAGAACTATGTTGATTTATTCCTTCCACATTAAATTAATACTTAGAACTTAATATTGTAAAAATTTTAACAAAACATTCGTAAACTTATCTGAAATTCAAGAATTGTGTCACAGTCCATATTTTATGCTTGAGCGAAATTATTTCATTTGGAGACATTAACCCTTTCACTGCAGCTGCACTGGGAAATATACGTCCCAGCTGCAGTGAATAGGTTAAACATTTTAAGTGAAAAACCTGTTTTTGTTATTAAAGAAAGTTTATGGTTTTATTATAGTGTTAGAGCACTATTTTTTCCTGCTTTGTTTCCCCGAAAGGTGGCCAAAGGCTGCTTTGAGGGATTACTTGTTTTGTCCACTCACACCACTATACAGTAGTGTGTTGTCTGTCAGTCAGTATACACTAAAATTATGTCACACGAGGGATTAAAAAGTGTGCATGCCATGAATCACAAGAACAATTATCCATGACATAAAAATATTTGTTACTCTTAATGTTGGTTTTATTTACTTTTGAAACGGAACACTCTCGAGGACCCTGTGCAATTACATCTAATTTTTGTTTACGTTTGTCATAAAAAAATTAAATATCAATTCAATTTGTATCACATAATAGTATACAAGTTATCTAATAGCATGTTACACACTATAAAATAATTATATACTGATGTGTTTCTTATTTATGGTTTGAGGCTTAAGGTTGCATAAAGATCCTGAAAGAGGGTGTAATGACACATTAATGTACCTTTAACACACACACCATCAGCCAAGTTACACACTTGAGATACTGAGTAAAGAAATTGTAGGAATAGCTAGTTAATCTTTGACAAGACAAAATGGCATCCATCGAATAGTAGTTTGAGTTTAGGTGGAGTTTCATTCCGTTGATATTACAACCAAAGTATCGGGGCACCATCATTTATTTATGGGACAAGCTTCCAGGATATGTAACTACTGGTTAAGGCATACTCCAGAATTATCACTTGAAAATAACAGCCATGACAGACTTCTGTTAATGACATTTAAACTAATAACTGGTCAGTATGGATGGTAACTGGCGAGTTTAAATTTTGAAGAAAGAAACATGGGATTCACTAAATTATATGGTACAACTGAGCAAACACATAAAATAAGAATTCAAGAGAAAACATATAGAAAGGTAGATTTCTTTACATTTAGAATAGCTTGCTTTATTATAAATTTAAGATTTTCCAAAATTCAACAATTCCAGTGGAGGAAACAGAAATATGTACGATACAAAAAAATAAAAACCACCTGATGTATAGAATGAGTTATGGCTGTTATCTTTGTGATGTTCTAGATTGCCTTTTGATATTCTTCTCGTTCCATTTTCTACTTCTTTGTTTAAATCGGACGTCAGTTCTATCATTAAACCTATCCCTAGGCACATCACTAAAATTATCATAATACCTTCTATCACATTCAAAGTCCCTATTAAATTCTTCCTGAAACTCATAGCTTTCTCTGGCTCTTTCTCTTTCTATCTCTATTTCACGTTTTCTAAGCCATTCTAGCTCTTTTTCTCTCTCTGTGTAACTTTTGCCTATTTCCCAATCTCGTCTTCTGTCTGTAAAGTCTTCTGTGTCATACATGTGCTCTGAAAACCTGCTGTCTCCATTGTCTTGATCATACTGATGTTCTTTATATCTTCTTTTATCATTCTCTGTATAACTTATTTCATAGGCTCTTCTTCCTTCCTGGTGTTCATCAAACCTGTATGATAACGGAGATAACCAAGATCTGTGTTCTTTTCTTTTTGACCTTTTAAAGTCTCGGTCACTTGACCTTTCTTTTTCATATAGATCATTTTCTCTCGGTCTTTTTTCTACAATATACTCTTCTCTCCAGTTGTGCTCATTTACCTTCCTATTCCCCTTGTGTGATCTGGAAATATAATTTTTGTCCATACTAGTATCTATCTTTTGCTGATCATGTGATTTGTGATACCTTTCTTTATTCCACGATCTGCGTTTTGGCAGACTTTTTTCTTCCAATTTTTCTCTACCATTCTTTGATTTGGACAAGAAAGTTCCAGTCTTTGTGAAATATCTTCTTTCAGATGAAGGACTTTTATGTCTATCTTTACTTGATACTGAACTTCTGAGTGAGTTTTGTGGGACTGGTAGTGGACTTCTACTTCTGTGTCTGAACTTGGAACTGTGATCAGGGTCAACATCTAGACCCCTTGCACTAGGTAATTTCAATTTTACTTGAATATTTATGCTTTGGACAGAATCTTCAAATTGATTCTGAAGTTTCTGTTTCTGAGAAGAATTACGAAAACAGTTAGTAGATGTTAGATCCTTACTAAGGTACCGATTGTAACTCGAATCAGCCTTCTCTTCCTTTACCTTAACAAGTGGTTTAATCTCTTTAGCTGAAACATCAGAAGAGGAAGCACCTGTATCACTAGACTTCTTCACTCGTTCTTTCTTCTTTTTCTTTTCTAATGTAAAAAAAACAACAACACAGGAATTCAGTCTTTATACATTTGTAACATAACCAAGCTAGTTTCGTAAACACAAAACTAATGTTTTCAGAAGAAAATTTCCTATCAATTCTTAACTGAAGGAAGTAGAAAAATTTAAATATAATTCAGTTCTAACTGAATGCCCTCTCAATCATGAATAAGCATGTTGGTTTTTTTCATTTAATCTTACAAACCTACTTAAGGGATATCTGCATTAGCCACCCCTAATTTTGAAATGATATACTGCAGGGAAAGTGGCTAGTCAACAGCACCCACTGCCAACTTTTGTCTGACCAATAGTAGGATTTAACCATTACCCTTTTAATGCACCCATCATCCCAAACTGGGGAGCTAATTTTTTTTTGTGCTAATCTAACCACTGGACAATGCTCAGTCATGAATAAGAACTAGTCATTCATACACAAAATATAATAAAAGAACTAAAGCAACACAACCTACAAAGAGTTTGGGTGTTACGTTACTTTTCATATGAAACTAATTCATCCAACTTACTACCCAGCTTGCAGGAGAGATTGGTCTAAATTAATGGTTCCCAAGCAATATGTCTCACCACAGAATAAAACTATAATGATCATAAAATGTTTCTATACAAATAAAACTCAAATTATAAAATCGCTATCAGACTTTACTAAAATACTACTGAACAACATCCTCCCCCAACTAAGCATGGGTCCCAGAAAGTGCCAGGCCACTCAGATGGGTTACGAGTTGGGAATCCTTGAATGAAAGGTGTTTAAAAAAAATTATTTTATCATTAGATCTCATTCTTAATAAACTAAAAAACTAACAATTCAAACTTTTATACATTAATAAAATTCAGTGTTGTATTGTTTTTCAGAACATTCCAAATGTATTTTAGTATTTAATTTCACAAATGAAAAACCAGGGACAAATATAAGTTTACTGATCTTCCCAAACGGAAGGGATTTGGGGACTATGTCAGTTAGAGTTGCCACAAATATTTTATTTATACACTTTCATTCTTCAGGAGCTGAACTCATAATATTTGTTGTTGTTTTCTTTAATTTAATGCACAAATTTTCCCACTACTGAGAAAATTTACTGATTTTCCCAATCAGAAGGGATTTGGACTATGTCAGTTAGAGTTGCCATTATGTCTTGTAGTAAATAAGTATTGTAACAACTACTAAACAAGTCACCAAAAACAACTGATTCAATAATGACATTCCTAACAAACCTTTCTTTAATTTTGGAATATTTTTCTCATCCAAGTGGTGTTCAGGAGACTTTGGAGCACATCCCTCCAAGTGTATAGTTTTTGTCAAGGCATCATCATCCTCATGTTCTTTCGGAATTTTATAGTTTTCTACATGATCAACACGAACAGTTCTTCCACATAACTAAAGAGAGAAATTTGCAAAATATAACTAATTAAAAATCAGTCAATTCGTAGAACATATCCACTCTTTAGTTAATAACTTCAAAACAAGATACTTTATACATTATTGTTGAAATAAATAATATTTATGTTCATTAGTATACTAAACAATAAAGTTCATCCCTTTCCAGGGAAGGTCTGATTTAACAGGTTTCTTTAGCAATATAAAGGAAACAGCATAAATTTTCATATAATGCTTTGTGATACAATTATTGAAGTGTTCTATATACTTATTAGCAGTTTACGAATTTGTTTTTTAGCAATATGTAAACTCAGTTTGGTTCATACAAGTACAATCTTGTTAAAATATATATACTTAGATCAAAGTCTGCTCCTTGCATGTTAAATTACTGCTTCTGAAAATTATGTACTTGGTTAAATGTTGTAAACAGTGACATTCTTCAAATATTTTTTGAGCTAGGCCTCAGCCTTGTTCTTAAGTCATATTTGAAACTCTACTGTAAGTAACAGATTCTCTTATAGTCAACATTTTTTTATATCACAGCTATATTTTCAAGTCTTTGAATGAATAAATATACACATGTTTTTGTGAAATGTGTAAAGTAAGAACCTTAATCTAAATCTCTAATGTTTAATTGGAGAAACATCATTTGAGGATATTTTCAACCAGATAATCCTTCAACTGATGGTGAAGTCATTTTCAAAAATATCCACATTAAATTTTAGACTGCTTGTATATGCTACCTGGGTTAACATAAAACCTTCACTTATGTCAGATATCAGTGAATCAACTTATCTCTGACAAATATTAAACAGCTGTGGTATGCAACACACACACAAGTATGGTTTGAATAATTAAAAAATCACAATAGAAGAATAATCAAATTAATAATGCATTCACGATGTGCATTTTTTTTTTAAATATAATATGAAGATGGTGGATGGTGAATACCAAGTTGTAACTCAACTGTTAAATAAAATACAGCATGCTATACATTTTGTTACATATTGACATTTGAGCTTTCAAAGATTAATTTCATTTCAACTGCTTGCTGTGACAAGTTGTCTCATTCTAAAATTTATATCACATAGCGTGTTACAATTTAAACGTTAAATAACAGCATATATATGAAAAGATATTTCCACAGTCACACTTAAAACACTGTTCATATCAGTTATAATAGCAGCTATCAGAAAATCATACTTGCCTTAATACCATTGAAATTGTCCACAGCTAAAACAGTGCTCCTCTGGTCTTCGTAACATAAAAAACAAAACCCTTTGGACTTGCCAGATTTCTTATCCCGAATTAGATTAAGGTTTACAACTTCACCATACCTGTTCGACATTGACAACACAACTTATGTAATATTGCGTAAATACTATCACAATCACTGATAAAATACACAAACTTCTTAGAAAACACTTCTCTAGCCATCAAGGTACTATATTTTGGATTCTAAAACTATTAATTGACAAAAAATAAAAATAAATCACCATTTGAATGTTCACGTCTAAACGAGAAGAAATAAATTAACTATAATAAACAATTGTTACACCAGTACATTTAATCACATAAAATTTCCTTGAAAAAAACCCTGATGACTCAGACACAAATGTATTTATTTAACTTGAAATAGAAACCCTGTAGTTTTTCATTTTCAACATTACACATAGTAGGATGTTTTTAGTCAATGTGTACACAATAGTGAAAATAAAATTAAAGTAAATAAAGAATAGTCTTTACACTAATTCTGTCCCTATTGGAAAAAAATGTCCCACCTAACTTCATGTGGCAATACTTATCTAAGTTACATCTGCCTAAAGTTTAGAGGTAGACAACATTTTGGTTTCACTGCTGAGGACAGTGCCATTGAGAATTTATATAGCATATGAGGAGAAGTCTTGTTACAAAGCTCCAGTTGTTGTGTTGGTGTATGGCATCTTTGTTTAAGCACCCATTTTTGTGAAAAGTGTAAACAGTCTGCTGTTTCATCAGTATGTTTGTGCTACCCAATATCATACAACTGGTGTCTATAGTGTCATTCTAAATGCACAGTAGCTGTTTCATGGTATTTTGATGTTTTTAAAAAATATTCTATACTATAGTTCTCTCTGTTTTTCCAGCATACAAGTCTCCACAGCAAAAGGAAACTTTACAGGGCATTAAAAGAGATTAAGTGTTGCATAAATAAGCAACTTACTTAAAAATGTTTGTAAATATTTGAGTAGTAGGTAGGTGCCAAAAGACTGGAAGCTAGCTAATGTTATACCTATTTTTAAGGGTAGGTAACAAGTAATATCTTACTTCTGTGGTGGTAAAAGTTTGGTAAAGACTGGTTAAAGATGCTTGTGAAGCCTACAGTTTTGTTGGACAGCCAGCATGGTTTCACAAAGCAAAATTCTTGCCTCACAAATCTTTTAACCTTCTTCAAAGATGTCACTGCTTATGTTGATGAGGGTAAAGGTGTGGATTTGGTATACATGTATTTTTGTAAAGATTTCAAACAGAGTTCCAGATAAAGTACCAGAAAACAAAATTACCTCTGTAGGTGTGGCAGAGAAGTTAGCTCAGTATTTTAAGTGTTGGTTAGAAGAGAGAATGCAAAGGGTTATAATAAATGTTGTACCTCAAAGATACATATAGGCATCCTTACTGTTTTGGATATACACTGATGATAATTTATTTGCAAATGGTAAACAGATTGGTCAAGTATGATGATGATATTAAAGTTTTGGGTGTATTTGGCTGTGAGGAGAATGCTGATGTTTTAAAAAGGGGGTTTGGAGTATTTGACAACTTGGGCAAATAAAAGCAAATGGCATTTAATTATCCTATTTCAAGGTAATCTATGTGGGCTTCCTTAATTTAAACTTCAAATACCACCTTGATGGAAATCAACTCAACAAGTGTTATGGGGAAAAAAAAAGGGATCTTGGTGTTTTGATCAATCAATCTCTTAAGCCTTACAGGCAGTGTGCTGTTGCCAGTTGGAAAGCAAAGCAAATAGGATTTTTGTATTTTATCTACAAGAATTTTGAACACAAGTCTAAAGAGGTTATAATGTCATTAATAGGTCCCTGGTTAGGCCTCATTTAGAATATTGTGTTCAGTCTTTGGCCGTTTACTTTAATCATGACATTGAGTTGGTGGAAAGGGTTCAAAGAAGGTCTACTAGGATGATTCCTGGAATAGAGGGGCTTTCATAGGACAAGTTAAGGTCTTTAAAGAAGGGTTAGAGTGGATGTGATTGTAATGCTCAAAATTATAAAATGGAACAGATAAGATTGATGCATCATACTTTTTTTTCATGTTTTATTATAAAAATGGTAGGACTAGTCGAAACAGATTTAAAATTTGGCAGGGAGGAGTCATCTGAAAATTGGGCAATTTTGTTTTTCAAACATGGTGATGAGACTTTGGAACAGATTGCCTTCAAAAATGGTATATGCAACCTGATTTGGAGAATTCAAGAGAAGGCTTGATCAGTATTAATTTGGATGTCAGAGCTGGATACAGACAAATGGGTATTTAATGAATTTAATGAAACAGCCACAATGAGCCAAGAGACCCTTTGTTATTCCTCAAATGTTATGTTGTGTAAAAGTTCTGGACTGAGTCACATATCAATAGAATTTAATCTGGGGCATCCTGAGTACCAGGCAAAATTTTGTCTCACACAAATATTGGTCATTTGTTCATTAAGTTTCTGAAACTGTTTCTTTGAGTGATCACAAACAGCTATAATGACTTAGAAAAAAATCATGGTAGTACACAACTTTTGTATCAAGTTGTATAATATATTTTCAAACATAATATCAAACAAACCAAATTATTAATATTTTTCATAAGAGATCTAACTATATTTAACTTACACATTTAATAAACAAATACTACAAAAAAAAGCTCTCGTACTCACTGAGAGAAAACACAAACAATATCTCCTTCTGTAAGATCATATGGTAGTCCACCAATAAAAACCCAAGCACTATTTTTGTACAAATTATGCCATGAAGTTCTGCTGTTTAATCCAAGAGAGAGTTCTTTCTCATTCAGCTTGGTAATATTTTTCACATTGCTAGAAAACACAAAGAAAAGGTAGGGCATTCCAAATGCACTGGTTATAAAGTAAGCTCATAACACATGCAAACTGTGTAGTGCTAATTAGAAAATGGTATCTTTTAAAATACATGTCATAGAAAAAGCAGAAATTTACTAACTCTTAAATCATTGACTTTTTATATTGTTCACTACTGGCAAGGTCTACAGCTTGTATCAAATTGAATAAACCAATGTTTTTGCCTGTTATAACACTCAGTGAAAAAACTGGCCAGAAAAAAATTAGGCAAAATTGCTCATTTCTATGTGAAATACATGGGGACCTCAGAACTAATTAGTGGAATTAATTGCAATATTGGTAGTACTTTTGTTTACACAATATTATATATTATTAAATGTGTTTAAAAGGCAATTAGGCTCATAAAAATTTCTAGGGTTAAGAATTAAATATGAATAAAACCCCAAATTAGTTTGGTTAAGCCTACTTTATATTTTTGAATATTTGTGCTTGTCTAGTAGCATTATAACTTATTATTATTTATTTCTCTATAAGTTGCTTATTGTTATAATTCTTTCATGAATTTTATATAATTAAAAATGTGAAAAAAAAAAGAATGATGGACTTGAAATGTATAAAATTTAAGTCAACTAGTTTTAGCAAATAACCTTATAGATTTAATAAATAGTTTTATTGTTTTCCAGTTTTGATTCTTTATATAATTTGAAATTCTTTTAGTGGTTGAAATTTGTAATATTTATATCCTGCTAATACTTAATTAGAATGCAATACTGTAGTAATTTAATGTATATTAATTAAAGAGTACAAAAAAATCATTTAAACTTTTTAATTATTACATACCTTTACATATAGAATGTATTATAAAAAATTATAACAATAAGCAACTTATAGGGAAATAAATAATAATAATAAGTTATAATGACTGCTATATATATACAC